TTTACTTCATTTGTTCCTTTCTTTTCTGCAAGTTAATCAAATTTCTGAAGGTGAGTATTTGCAGCCTGATGCTTTTTGCAGAAAAGTTTTTTTCATATACATGTATAGTGTTGATGAGAACATTCATCACACCTTTGTTGTGCGACACGTGCTGTAGTCTCTGCAGAAGGAAACGCAGTTTAACATCTCTTTCCCGTCCCGTCCCACCCACAGGCCTGTGTGAGGCCACAGAACAAACTGAGGAAACACATCCAGGACGGTGTTTATTTATCTTGTTACACTGAACCTGAACCACCTGTTTCACATTATAGAGCTAAAGAATACTGACGCGTAGTTAGTGTTGGGACAAGCATCCAGACCAAGACCAGTCTGATGTTTGGTCTCACTGAAAACATGGTCGAACTTTTTTTGGTTTTCAACATTTCTTTAAATTTTAAATTGACTTTTTTTCTATCCAATTTTAATTATATTCTGATATTCTATTTATTCTATTCCATTTCAATCCGTTTTCTGAATCTGTTTTTCATTCATTTCTATTCTAATCACTTCTACTTTTTTGGTTTTATTCTATTTTATACTATTCCATTCTTTTTGATTGTTTCTATTTTCATCTATTTCCATTTTATTTTATTCCATTGTCTTCTAATCAATTATATTTCATATTATAATATCATTCCATTCTGTTGTCTACTAAGTTCTAATTCTACTAAGTTCTATTTTATTTAATTCTATTATATTTATTCTATTCCATCTATTTCTATTTCATTTCATTAATACTATTATTATATATAATATATAAAATATATAGTATATAATATAGTATATTATTATACTATTATTATTTTATTTTGATACCTTTCTATTCTATTCCACCTCATTCTATTTTATTCTATTAACGTAGCTCTGTGTTCTGAAAACTACAAGATTATTCTCTAACACAGATTATTCTTTCTTAACTAATGACCACACTTACACGCAGATACAGACTTCTAAATAAAAGCGTCCCTTTTTCTAATCAAATTGATAGCAAACGTATTCCGTTCAGTGGTTTTCTCCAGTCCAATCATTAGTGTCAAATGCATCATCATCAATAATAAAGACTGACTTCAAAGGCCACTTAATGGCCCCATTGTCAACAAAATGAATTGGTTACAATGTTAATGATAACAGTTTACAGAAAAGAAAACTGACGCTTTAAAGAATGACCACTGTTGTTGTTTTTTATGTGAGGTATAATCTGAGATGATGGCTCTAAAAGTGCTCATTAAGTCCAACTGTAAAGGACTGACAGTGATGTAAATCGTCACAGTGTAAACTAACGTCTAAAGGATCCTCACGTTAAAATAGCGTTTTATTATAGAACCTTAATCTTCACTAATTATCGCATTATTAAAGTAAAAGTATGAGCTAAATTAATTGTGTTTCTCAGCGGTGTTATACAAAGTTAAGCCAATTGTCCTCATGCAGAGGGACGTTTGTGTATTTGTATTCTGCCAGTATGGCCTCATGTAGTCAGAGCGATCTTCACAGCGCTGTGTCAGCGAAGAATTGTCTGGTCGTACACATTAAGATTCTGCCATAGGGGAGAGAAGAAGACGACAAAGAAAAAACCCCCCAAAAAAAAACAGCCGTTCTTGTTTGGCTTGTTTCTTGAAACCCTGCGAGTGTTCTTGTTATGAGCCCAGCTTTCAGGGACAGTACGAGAAAATGTGTCAAGCTGGGACTTTGCAGGAGTGTAATTTCTCGCCACAAACAAACACTGGAAAAACAGATGTTACAGATGTCTGCCACTTAGGTAAGAAATGTGTCATTTTTACCCACGTGTGTTCAATCTCTGGTTCTGCAGTGTCCAGTGGGCGAGGGAATGTTGTAAACAATCCCAGGTGTCAGAAGAAAAATGCATCATTAATGAAAGGCTTTTTGTTTCCTTCTTCTTCCTCTTCAGAAAAAAGGACAGAGACAGGTAGAGGTGGGCTTAGATGTAATAGATGTTGCCTTAACAGACAAAGGACTCACTTTGTGTTTTGTCTGAATTCTCTGGTTTTCAGTCTTTTGAGAGACAGTTCAGCTGCCAGGCATCAAAACGCGTGTCAAACCTAGAAGCTGGGTTTTAAAAGAGGATGCTAAGATCTGTCTCTATCCTCCCTCTCACAGCCCTCACCGGTGTCTCCTGTGTGTTTTTATTACCACACGCCACATACACATCAGAACCAGGATACTAACAATGTGAAGCTGTGGGTCAGAGACACATCCTTTGTACAATTCTCCTCACCAGAGACAACCAGAGGGTGTCAACGCTAACATTTACCTGCCTGTAAAATTGTTTTGTTCTCCCCTAACATATTATAGTGGAACAAAGACTGGGGATTTTTTTTTTTTCTTTCTAGAGTGCCTCTCGTGTCAGGGTACACAGCAATCAGTCGTCCTCGCTCGGCTGCAGAGCCTTAGGTGGGTTTTATTTCTATGATTTTGCAAGAAGGCGAACCTTCAAATGAGTCTATAGTTTTTTAATGTTTCATATGAATAGATTTCCTCCCAGCAATTGAAAAGGTAAAACTCTTTTTTGCATGTTGTCCATCAAGAGCATTTTGAGAAAGATATTTTATCTTTCCTGTATATTTTTATAAAATTTCAAATTTGGCCTGTCATGCGGTCAAACAGTAAAATATTTTGATCTGATGATCTGAACTGATCACCTTATCCATGTTAATGGTAGATCAGTTTTTATCACTTCAAACATCTGTTTCTTAATTAAACTTAAATGCAAACTTGTTAAAAAGATTATTTTCTTTTTTTTTTCAAAAATAGATAAACACTAGAAAATCTATTTCAATGGAAATGGATTTCATTCCTTAGACAAAACAAGCTGGAGGTCATGACCTGTTGGCTAAAACTCTCCAACTTCAATTGGTCTAAACTTTTTAAAACACACTCTGAATATAATATCTGCTCTTTACTGTGTTAAAGACCAACCTTGAGTGGCATGAGACCACAGGAGGGTTTTATGACAATAAAAAAACAAATAAAAATATGAATATCACGAAAAGGATAAAAACACAGAAGGGCGGAGAAGAGGATGAAACTCAGAGAGCTTTTATTGATATATTCAGGCATTTCTGTTCACTAATGTTGAGCGTTTTTTTCTGTAATGGCAGCAGCTGTTTGACAAAACTCTTCTGGCTCAACCCTGAGAGCTGTGCTGTCGGACAGACTGTCGTCGTCAACAGAGCAAATGTGCAGTTTTGGTTTGGCTGCATGAGCAGGGCTGAACAACAGAACAGTGAAGCTGGGACCATAGGCATGCACCATCATGAAAATAATAATAAAAAAGAATACTACACTATATTTGCACAGACAGATGTTGGTGCTTATCGTGATATATTTTTATGTAATATCTTGTATATAAAACCTTCAAAGGGCCGTCTGCTTAAAATGAGAAAAGTGAAAGCAGTGACCCTGCACTTTGTCTGAACCCACGCAGCATGGATTTTTAAAATAATAATGTGTCACTATATCAACTGTTGGTGACTGTGCAGACTCTCAATGGCCTGAACACATCCACTTTATTCCCCAGCAGCAGTTTGTCCTTGTCAACTACGCCTCTGAGTCCTTGGTTATGTAGAATAGATTGATCTCTATGGGTTGTGTTTACTGTACATTTCTATGCTGTGAAAAAGTGTCTGTGGGATTATTAATGTTCTCAGTATAAATGGAACGGGTTCTACCTGAGAAAGTTAAAGGTGTTTCTTTGTTTACTGATGGCCATGACGCTGCATCCCAGTGTATTATTGCATTGTTTCCCAAATACTGGGTTGCGACCCTCAGTTGGGTGGCAAGAGTTTTTTTTTTTTTTTGGTCGTCTCTCATCATGTTTCCAAGGAGTTTACGAATAACGTCTATAGGCTTGGGTCGCAAAGGTTTGTGTCTTTTAAAATATGGGTCACCAGAAAAAAATGTTTGGGAAACACTATATTATTGTAACGAATGCTTTTCTTCCATGGTGATGAGGCACAAATACACGATTAAAATGATTATTAAAACTAATAAAAATGTTCAATGCATTCACATTATATCGACTTGAAGCATTGACTGTGCTTTTATCCAAGATGTCAAACAACATCGGCCCCACAGCGGTGTTGTCCTCTCATGTCACTCAATGTCTCCTGTGTTTCCTCTTCATGGTTGTCAAATTAATTTTAGGTGCTATAGCGCCCCCTAGTCCCACCAGGCTCCAGTGCAGTTGAGAATCCATTTGGGTCAACTTTAGCCACATGCAACTCTTTATCCATTTTGCATTGTCTCCCTGGTGGATTTATGTAATGGATCCTGTCGCTGTTAAAACTTAGCAGTGAAACAGTAGTATAACTGTGTTACTTAACACTCTCCACTCTCCATTGTGGTCAATGTTTCTAACGTTTCTGTAGTTTCGGTGAATTTTATTTGAAGGTTTTACCATAAAAATGTCTGTTTTGGTGTTGAAGGTTTCAGAGCTCTGGACTAATGTGCTAATTTTATTTTTCATTGCTAATTTTGTTATTTTATTCATTTCAAGTCCCAGCAATAAAAAATACACCATATAAAGCACATTTTTATTGTATATTAATAGAACAATTAATGCCTAATTATTCATTTTACTTTATTGGTCTTCGTTATCAGCAAATAAACGACACAGATGTATGTGCCAAATTGACATCATAAATGTCTCCCCCCCCTCCCCCCTTTCACATGCAACACTTACATTCTGCGTATATATATATTTAGAATATATCCTCAAACTGTCTGACAAGGTTGACTGAAGGTGAACACCAGTCAGATTATTCAGGCTGTTTCCTGTGTGACTGATGATAATGTTGTTGTCACTACTCTCCGTGTCTATTGATG